TTTTTTTTTTTTAATTTTTATTCTATAGGAATTTGTACGTCTTTATAGTGATCTTTTGTTAAACAAAAGTATTGAAAAACAATTTGATCCTTTTTTTCATGGATTTTTATTGGTAACACATGATAGTTCATTAAGAAAATTATTTCGACCAGATGAAATTGAGTTACTTGTTGCTGGTAGTCAAGTACTTGATTTTAATCAACTTGCTTCAGCTGCTGCTTATGATGGTGGTTATACAAAAGATAGTCCAACAATTAAGTAGGTTTTTCGATTATTATTTACAAAATGTAGTCTATCTATCATTGATTGATACAAAAAAAAAGATCATTCGTCGTATTTAAAGATTTATCTATAAAACTCGAGATCGATGAATCAGAGTTATAACTGATCCGGCTGGAAAATATTTTATAGATAGAAATATCACATATTCATCTTTGAGAAATCTAATATATATAAACGACTATAACATGATATTTCTTCTTCTGAAGATTTGTAAATATCTGAGTGCAAAAAGGAAAATGAATTTTTTGTTAAAGCCATTTCCATTAACTTATTCATAATGTTTCAATAAATTGACTAGGCTGAAAATCTTCGACCGGCACTATTAATACAATACGATGAGTTACTTTTGATGTAATAGAATAAAAAAAGTGTTTTTCTTTTATCAAATCGGAAGAATGAGTACATCTTGATTACTAATTGTATTTTTCTCCACTTAATTAAATAAACCATCTGTGAGAGCATATTTACAAATAATTGAAATAGTGGAAGATAGTATAAAATCAAGATTAAGTTTATTATATCAATCGAATAAATAGGAAAAAAAAATGTAACATTAAACTACTGTTAGTTTATGACGATGAATGTCCTTAGTTAAATTTAATACATATATATATATATTGATTGTAACAAGAAGAACATCATATTTCTTTTTTTGTTTTCTATTATTTATCAATGATCTCTTGTGAAGAGTATCAATCAGTTGTCTATAATTAATAGTTTTATATATGTTTAAAGAATATAATTGAATAAAATTTTATTTTAATTTAGAAATTTTTGGTCTATCTTAATGACATTTACTGATGAACAAAAACGAAAATTTTTACGATTTACTACTGGTAGTGATCGTGCTCCGTACGTTATTTCTTATCTTTTAATTAATCAAAAAAAAAAACAAAATTAAGATTTCTATTTTTAGTATTGGTGGTTTAGCTAGATTAAAATTAATTATATCTCGTAATGGTCCGGATGCTGATCGTTTACCAACAGCACACACCTGCTTCAATGCCCTCCTCCTCCCTGATTATTCATCAATTGAAAAATTACAAGAAAAACTTTCTATAGCCATCGATAATGCTGCAGGATTTGGATTACGCTAAAAGCGAAGAAGAAAAAACACCTTTATCAATTTTTTGTTCTTTCATGTTGTTGATTTTCTCCTTTAACATCCTTTATTATTATAGTTATGAGTGTGAATACATAGAATTCTGTTTTCTTTTATCCCTATTGTCATATCCACTGTGATTGAACGAACTATCCTTTTCTTTTTTTGTTTTTTTTTTGTTTCTTTTTTTGATAACTCAGAGCGTGTGTATATTAAACGAAATTTTTTATTATATTCTAAAGATTACAAAATGTTCAACTCTAATGAGACATTCCGAAAGCATGCATGACGTTTAGAAATATGTGCGTGTGACAAATCGCGTCAAAGTTAGGACAAATCCACTTGTTGTTGGCAGACCGACGACATTATGATTGACGTTTACAGTGCATGGTTATAACTTGCTGCGTGTCTCATTAAACAAGAGAAGATTGTTAAAAAAAAACGAAGAAAAAAGAAAAACGGTAAATTTCAAGTGTAAAACACATATATATATAATATGCATAAAATAAAGAACACGCGAAATCTAATCGATTCATCTGTCATAGAATTTTTCTTTATTTATGAAAGATAACTTTTTCTTCTTCTTATATTGAAGAAAAAGTCATTATTCGCTTGGTTAAATTCACACGTGTCACATCAATTATATACCTACTACTATAGTCTTTATACATGTTGATGATCAAATTCATTTTCTATTTATTCAACGATTTAAAACTATATCTATAGGTGTATGTTAGATTTACTAGTAAGGATGGAATATATTGTTGAAATAAATTGAAATGATAAGCCTTTAACACGCATTCGTTGTTCATTCAATTTGATGAACGAGCAAAAAAAGAAAGAAAGAAAGAAAATGACATTCGGTTTTTTTGTGTTGGCAATACATCTGTCAATAAAAACAAATTTGATGAGATGTTTTTCTGTTATTTAAAAGACTTTAAGTAAATAAAAATATCTATATGTATAAATTCTCTCACCAAATTTACTGATCTACATATTCAAATTAATTTTACTATTTTCTTCGATAGTTAATCTAACAATTTTCTTCCTGTTTTTCTTTTTGCTTAACTTGATAAACAATATGTCAAAGATTTCTTCCTTTCTTTTTCTTTTTTTTTTTTTAACATTGAATATGCGTGCCTGCCTGATTCAATCTTAATATAAGAGAAGAAAAAAAAATATTTCATATCCGATGGTTCCTCTTATTAATCCCCAATTTCAACATTGGTAGTCAGTGCAATAGCAGTAAATCTCTTTTTCTTCTCTCTTTCTATTTTGTATGCCATACCGCTCTCTGACATGTCACTAAGAGGAGACGAAGAAAATTGTAAAGAAGCTGATTCGTTGAAAGAAAAAGAAGAAGAAGAAAAAGAAAAAAAGGCGAAGATTTTTTTTTTTTTCTTTTTTGCTCAAATCTTTAACTGATATGAACCAATGAAAGATTTTCTTTTGCTCTTTTTCTCTCTCTTTCCAACCACTCGAAATTAAGTTGATCGCTGATGATGGTTGGTAGTGCTCTTTCATTCGATCTCGACGCCTCGCGCTTGATTTACACCTCAAACACTTGACATTTTTGCTTTTTTGTGCAAAAAGACAAATCTTTTGTTTTTTTTTTAATTTTTCTTTTACTTATCTCTTTAATTATGGATGTTAATGAAAATAATAATAATAATAATAATAATAATAATAAATCATCAAACAATGATGGTATGTATATATTTGTTTGATTTCAAAATTTTTTGTTTTTTCTTCATGAGTTTTAGTTTATTTCCGATTTCTCTCACTTTTCTTTTTTTATCTTTTATTAAACATATCCTAAAACTTTTTTCGATTAATATGAAAGTGCGTGTGTAAGTCTTTCGAACCGTAAACTGTCTAGTGAACAATGATTATCTTGAGACATTCACTTGTCGTTCTATTGTCTATGACATGTTCTCTTTTTTTCGATTAGACTTTGCCTGTTCAATTGTTATTTGCACGATGATAATTCAATAGATTTCTTTCTAAAAATTGAGGATTGGAAGTTGACGACAACGACAGCACGTTATCCAATTAAGTCTAAAAAACTTATCTTCTTTTTGCTCGATCGAATATTTCATATATATATATATATATATAAAAGGCAACGATGATGATGATAATAATCATGCAGCGACGAAGTAGAACAAATTAGACGCACATCACATCGATCTCTTTTTTTTTTCTTCTTCTTCTTCTTCCTTCGCACAAGTGATCAATGATTTGAAGACATCATGCTGAGTATGTGTTCACTCTGGCTAAATTAACATCGTTAAACTTGTCAAGCAATGTAGCTACTAGTACATAGATTCTATATAAAATTAATCACATACACACATCATCATTTTTTGAGTAGTGTTGTTGTTCTCATAAGGATGAATAAGAAAGAAGAGATGTGTGAGCGGCAAATCTTAATCTGAAAAAAAAAAACGGAATGAGCAAAAGAGAGAAACACGAAATGAATTTGATTTGTATATATTTATTCTTTGATTAGATTGTTCATCACCAAATGAAACAAGTCCAACAATTAATGATGATGATAATAGTAATCATAGTAGTATTGAAAGTAATAATGATGATCAAGAACAACTTGTTCAACCAAAAGAAGAACCAAATTTAAATTATTATAATAATTTAATACCACCTAAAACAGCTTCAAATGCTGAAAATCCATTTGGTATTCTTTCAATGTGTTTACCATCATCATCCTCAACATCATCATCATCATCAAAAATGGTTCGCCCTCATTCATTTACAAATCATCGTTATGCAGTTGTACAACCATATCCAATCTCACCTCATGCTTATTTTGCTAATATGGCTAAATATACTGAAGCAGCTGCAGCGGCTGTTGTTGCTGAACAACAACGTAATCAACAAGCTGCTAAATTAGCTGCTGCTGCAGCTGCAGCTGCTGTTGGAGTTATAGGAACAAATACAATTTCATCAAATCATAATATTGGAAATAATTTAATTTGTGCTGTTTGTGGAGATATTTCAAGTGGGAAACATTATGGAATATTAGCATGTAATGGTTGTAGTGGATTTTTTAAAAGAAGTGTTAGACGAAAATTAATCTATCGGTTAGTCTTATTTCTTTTTCTTCTTATTTAGATATAGTAATATGAAAATATTGATTTTCATTATTTTTAGATGTCAAGCTAATACAGGTATGTGTATTGTTGATAAAGCACATCGTAATCAATGTCAAGCTTGTCGACTTAAAAAAGTAATGTAAATCAATCATGTTTTGATGTAATAATTTTTATTTGACTTTCTTTTTTTTTAGTGTTTACAAATGGGTATGATAAAAGAAGGTAAAGTCTCTTTATATCTCAGTGGCGAAGCCAGAATTTTAGACTGGGAAATGAGACTTAGCCTTCGTCCTCTGGAAAAGATTTTTGAATATTGTAATGAAATGTTTTAATACATATATGTTGTTGAAAGAAAGAAAGTAGAGTAAATATAAGTTTCAATCAAGTCAAAATATATTTTTCAAAAATCTTGCTAGAAGAGAGCCTCAGTCTCCACTGATTTCGCCGTTGTTATATGTGTTGAAAAACAAAAAAAGAATCATATGAATGGTTTTTTTTTGTCATTTTAAGCTGTACAAAATGAACGTCAACCACGTAATAGTGCTCAAGTTCGTGCTGATTCAATTGATTTTAATTGTGATGGTAATGGTACAACAGTATCAGTTATGCATCATCGACCAACAAATTCTAATCCAGCTTCATCACCTGGTGAAGGTAGTACATCATCAACTAAACAAGATGGTAAACAAGAAAATATTTCTTTTTTTTTTTTTGCAAAACTTATTAATTTTTTTTTATTCGTTCTATTTAAGATGAATGTGATTTATCAACATCACAAGTATTTCCTAATGAAACAGATGATCAAATATCTGCAACATCAGCACAAATACTTTTAATGATTGTTAAATGGATTCGTAATTTACCAACATTTTCAAGTTTACCTTTTCGTGATCAGGTATTATTTATATTTATACATATATCTATATATATCTATCAAAAGAAACAAGTTCAAATAATGTTTTTTATTGACATATTCTAATCCTGAAATATCATGTCATTTGAAAACGTGAACATCTTTTGATGAACTCGATACATATCGTTGTCTATTCAAATAATCAAATGATGAAAGAAGGATCAAGAAATAAATAAATTCACATTCAATCAACATAAGAGTGATAATAAGATGAACCAAAAAAAAAAAAAAATTGTCAAGTAGAAGAGATTTAGAAGTATCATTGTTAATCTTCATGAACAAAACAAAAAAAAATTACTTTTTTTTTCCTCCATCTGTCAAATAAATTTCTTTCTTTTTTTTTTTTTTAGTTGATTTTATTAGAAGAATCTTGGTCAGAATTATTTCTTCTTTGGGCAATACAATGTTCAACATCATTAGATAATGGTGGACCTCTTTTTACAACAGCTCTTAATCGTTATCAATTAGATAATGAAAATGGAAAATCTATTTATCGTTTATTAAATGATATTTTATATCGTTTTAAACAATTAAAACTTGATCCAATCGAATTTGCTTGTTTAAAAGCTATTGTTCTTTTTCGTTTCGGTATATAAATGAAAATTTTTCAAAAAAAAAAAAAAAAAAAAAAAAACAAAAATCTTTTCTTCTCTTTGAATTAGATATTCGAACATTAAGAGAATCAAAATTGGTTGAAAATTTACAAGATCAAGCACAAATAACATTGGCTCAATTTACACAAATTCATAATCCAACACAACCAACTCGGTAGATAAAATTCAATTCTTTTGTTTTGATAATTTTAATGAATTTCTTTCTAGTTTTGGTCGATTACTTTTAACATTACCATTATTACGAAGTATTCCATCATTATTAATTGAAAAAACTTATTTTGCACGTACAATTGGAAATACATCAATGTCGAAATTACTTGCAGATATGTTCAAAAGTTAAAAATTGTACAGAACT